CGACTCGCTGCTCTGCGTCCTGCCCAGTGCTGTCGCCGCCGCGGCCGCCGTGGCCGTCTCCTTGCGCCGCGCGTCGCCTGGGCTCTTGGATCCCATCCCAATCCCAATCCCATCCCAATCTCAATCCCATCCCAATCCCACCCCAATCCCATCACACGTAGGCCGACTCGCTGCTCTGCGTCCTGCCCAGCGCCGGCGCCGCCGCGGCCGCCGCAGTCGCCGTCTCCTTGCGCCGCGCGTCGCTCAGGCTCTTGCGGCGCGCGCGGGCCCCGCGCACGGCGGCGCGCACCTTGCGCCAGCCCAGGTGGTTGAGCTCGGCCAGGTTGAGCAGCACGCAGACGCCCGACACGGCGAACATGAAGACCAGGAAGACGCTCTTCTCGGTGGGCCGCGACACGTAGCACTCCACCTCCTTGACGCACGGGTAGCGGTCGCACTCGAAGATGGCCGGCACGTTGAAGCCGTAGAGGAAGTACTGCCCGCCCAGGAAACCGATCTCCAGGGCGTTCCTGAACACCACCTGGGCACGGGAGGGACAGGTGAGGGCTGAGAGCTGGGCTGGAGCTCTCCTGAGCATCACCTGGGCACGAGAGGACAGGTGAGGCCTTGGGGTGCCCCGGAACCCTCCTGAGCACAAGAGAAGGACTTGGGGTGCCCTGGAACCCTCCTGAGCACGAGAGAAGGACTTGGGGTGCCCTGGAGCTCTCCTGAGCATCACCTGGGCACGGGAGGGACGGGTGAGGGCTTGGGGTGCTCTGGAACCCTCCTGAGCACAAGAGAAGGACTTGGGGTGCCCTGGAACCCTGCTGAGCATGAGACAGGGCAGGTGAGGGCTTGGGGTGCCCTGGAACCATCCTGAGCATCACCTGGGCACGGGAGGGACAGGTGAGGGCTTGGGGTGCCCCAGAACCCTCCTGAGCATCACCTGGGCACGACAAACAGATGATGCAGCTGTGGCTGGACGGAGCTGGAGAACAGAGCAGGTGTTACTGAAAGCCCTTAAAGGACACACCTTGGGCAGTGCAGGAGCCTGGCCGGGGCTGCTCACAAAACGGACACAAAAAGGACCCAGAATGGCCACAAAAAGGACCCAGAACAGTCACAAAATAGACACAAAAATGGTCACAAAAAGGACCCAAAATGGTCACAAAATAGACACAAAAATGGTCACAAATGGACCCAAAATGGTCACAAAAAGGACCCAGAATGGTCACAAAATAGACACAAAAATGGTCACGAATGGACCCAAAATGGTCACAAAAAGGACCCAGAATGGTCACAAAATAGACACAAAAATGGTCACAAAAAGGACCCAAAATGGTCACAAAAAGGACCCAGAATGGTCACAAAATAGACACAAAAATGGTCACAAAAAGGACCCAAAATGGTCACAAAATAGACACAAAAATGGTCACAAAAAGGACCCAAAATGGTCACAAAATAGACACAAAAATGGTCACAAAAAGGACCCAAAAAGGTCACAAAATGGACCCTATTCATATCTTTACCTCTATTTTTTTATACTGTTTTATACCTTTGTTTTTAAATATATTTTTACACCTCTATTTTTTATTATTTATATTTTTACCTCTATCTTTCACCCGTTTTCACCCATTTTACCTGCTCAAACCCACCTGGATGACGTAGAACCTGGAGATGCCCTCGTGCCACCTGCCCCTGGCGCCGCGCTGCGCTTTCACACCTCTGTATTTTATTATTTTACACCTCTGTATTTTATTATTTCCATTTTCACCTCTATCTTTCACCCATTTTCACCCGTTTCACCTGCTCAAACCCACCTGGATGACGTAGAACCTGGAGATGCCCTCGTGCCACCTGCCCCTGGCGCCGCGCTGCGCTTTCACACCTCTGTATTTTATTATTTTACACCTCTGTATTTTATTATTTCCATTTTCACCTCTATCTTTCACCCATTTTCACCCGTTTCCCCCACTCAAACCCACCTGGATCATCACACAGAACCTGCTCAAACCCACCTGGATGACGTAGAACCTGGAGATGCCGTCCTGCCGCCTGCCCTTGGCGCCGCAGTTTTATAGATGGTTTTATACCTCTGTATTTTATTATTTCCATTTTCACCTCTATCTTTCACCCATTTTCACCCGTTTCACCTGCTCAAACCCACCTGGATGACGTAGAACCTGGAGATGCCCTCGTGCCACCTGCCCCTGGCGCCGCGCTGCGCTTTCACACCTCTGTATTTTATTATTTTACACCTCTGTATTTTATTATTTCCATTTTCACCTCTATCTTTCACCCATTTTCACCCGTTTCCCCCACTCAAACCCACCTGGATCATCACACAGAACCTGCTCAAACCCACCTGGATGACGTAGAACCTGGAGATGCCGTCCTGCCGCCTGCCCTTGGCGCCGCAGTTTTATAGATGGTTTTATACCTCTGTATTTTATTATTTCCATTTTCACCTCTATCTTTCACCCATTTTCACCCGTTTCACCTGCTCAAACCCACCTGGATCACACAGAACCTGCTCAAACCCACCTGGATGACGTAGAACCTGGAGCTGCCCTCGTGCCGCCTGCCCCTGGCGCCGTGCTGCGGTTCTACAGATGGTTTTACACCCCTCTATTCTATTATTTCTATTTTTACCTCTATCTCTCACCCATTTTCACACCATTTTCACCCCTGTGCACCCACCTGGATGACGTAGAACCTGGAGATGCCCTCGTGCCGCCTGCCCCTGGCGCCGCGCTGCGCCTTCCCGCCCGGCTCGGGCTCGTCCTTGGCCGCGGGCTCGGCGGCCGGCGCGCCGTTGGCCTTGGGCCGGCGCGGCTCCAGCAGCGGCTGCAGGAAGGAGCAGCGGCGCTCGCGCTGCTTGGCCGCCTGGTGCACCGAGTAGGTGATGAAGCAGAGGCTGGGCGTGCACACCAGGATGATCTGGAACACCCAGTAGCGGATGTGGGAGATGGGGAACGCCTTGTCGTAGCACGCCTGGTTGCAGCCCGGCTGCAGCGTGTTGCACATGAACATGGTCTGCTCGTCCTCGTAGACCGTCTCGCCCACGATGGCCACGATCAGGATGCGGAAAATGACCACCACCGTCAGCAGGATCCTGGGGAGGGACAGGGAGTGACCAGCGGGGTCAGGGAAATGGACACAGGGACAGGGAATGACCACCACGGTCAGCAGGATCCTGGGGAGGGGAACACAGGAGTGACCAGCGGGGTCAGCGGGGACAGGGAGTGACCAGCGGGGACAGGGAGGTCAGGGGGTGACCACCACCGTCAGCAGGATCCTGGGGAGGGACAGGGAGTGACCAGCGGGGTCAACAGGATCCTAGGGAGTGACCAGCAGGGACAGGGAAATGGACACAGGGACAGGGAA